TTATTTTCTGTTTCACTTAAGGTAAGTTTTCCTATCATGATAGTCTATGAAGTAGTTATGCATAGGCACACAGAGTCTGATGACCAGAAATAAAAGACCTGGGGAAGGTCTTTTTGTTTTGTTTTGTTTTGTTTTTTAAATAATCCTCATCAGCTTGAAACTAGTAAAGGGTATTATGGGGGAGATTAGTGTGTAGTGTTGGGAATTGTAAGCCATAAAAATTGACCTCTCCTATTGTGTTCCAATATGACAAGTGATTGATAGGGTTTTGTTCTCTACAATGAGGGAGGCAAATCAGTCCTGCAGGGGTTTGCTTAGGTTTTGTCTGCTTGCAGAGTCCTCTGCATCCTGTTATAAAATATTATGACCCTTTCCCCTAACTTTATGATGTGGTTTTCCTTTTTTCTTTCCAAGTGAGTGGAAAGGAATGAAATGTTTCTCTATAACCTAAGGTTCAGCTAGAAAATAAGAGGTGTAGCAGACGTTACTGGAAATAGTTATATGAATGAATAAAATGTTGCTAACTCGGAATCTGCACAGTTAACAATTCTTCTCACATTGTTTAAAATTGAGAATTAATCATTTCCTATGTCTTTATTTATCTCTGTCCTTTGACTTTTACTGTTATTCAAATACAAGATTTTCTCCGATGACAAAGATTTTCTTTTCAATATATTTTTATTAAGACCAATATTTATTTACTCATTTTTAGTCACTTGAATATCTTAATTTTTAATTTACCTATAGTAAGAGAGTATCTGTTAAAAGTAGAAAATGGTGGTGGTGAAGGAAAATTGCCACATTTTAGATATGTTTGGAGTTTTCACTTTCAGAAACATGATGAAAGACAATTCAATAACAAATTGTATATACCTTGGCATATAAGTTATTTCATTCACATGCCTTAAATTAAAAGCCAGTTTTCCTTTCCGGCTTTCCTTTTTTCTTTTAACACTGTTCTTCCCTAGTAGAAAATTTTCTTTTCTAAGATTCCTTATAAGCTACTTTTTCTTTTGAACGGACTCATTTCTATCTATAGTATAACTCTGTACTTTTTAATTTTCTCATTGATGTTCAGGTACTTGCTTTTAAATAAAAGTCTATAATTTAGTTATGAGCTCTTAAATTTTAAAATGTGAAGAATTAACAATTTTATGATTTACATGGGTTTGTATAATTTGCAATATTTTAAAATTTTGCTGATTCTGGATTTACAGTTTAAGAGAGATTTTGATAGTGGTGTTATATACAGATAAAGGCTGAATATGTGTATTTTTCTTTTTTCAGGAAAAAGTAACTGACCCCATTCTAAAAATATTTAGGCTTAGCCAGGTATGGTGGTGCACTCCTGTAGTCCCAGCACTCGGGGGGGGGGGGCAGAGGCAGGCAGATCTCTGTGAGTTCAAGGCCAGCCTGGTCTACATAGTGAGTTCCAGGCCAGCTGGGGCTGCAGGGAGACCCTGTCTCAAAAAGACCAAAAAAAAAAAATTTAGGCTTTTAATGTTCAAGTTTATGTCATCTGCTCTACGTACCTCTATCCTTGGTACCTCTTAAAAACACTAAATAAACTAGATATTGAAAAAATATTGTGAGAGGCAAACACTTGCCGACGAAAAAAATCATTTACTCATCAACATGAAAAAGAAAACATTTGTGAAGAAAATACTCTCTAAAAACATTTCGTGACAATAAATCTAGCAAATTACTTTTTAAAATATATTTTCACAGCGAGCAAGATGACTCAGTGGTGTGTATTGTCCTATCTCTCTTTTTTCTTTCTCTGTTTTCT